CCCCCCCCCCCTTCCCCCACCCAAGTTTTCATGCCTATAGAAAAGTCTGGGTTGGTTTTGTTTCGTAGCTGTTGCTCTTTTTTCTTTTGGAGTTTGATGAATCGTGAATCAGGCTTTGATCTTCCCAGGGTCATCCGTTCCCTTGTCCAACATAATGCCAACTGATCTAACGGTGGGAGCTACTAGCTGTAATAGCAAACACAGCGCTACCTTAGAATTACAAGGTTCTATTTGCTCAGAACCTAGTTATTAGAAATTTGTCGTTACAAATTTTGAGTTTTCTATCACACCAAGCTTTTTCGAACGCAATTTTTTGAATACTTTGATAACAATTCAGAATAATATTACGATTTTGCTAGAGCAGATAGAACATTTGGTTTCTGAACTCAAGGTTTTGGTAACTCAAAACGGCCAGATAGAACTTTGTAATTCGAAGGTAGCAAACAAATCTAGACGTTTCCTCATGGAAAGAAAAGGGCGTGATCGCTCGTATTCTGCACATGATATTGTAGCGTCTAGCTACTACACTACAGGGGCCGGTCTAGGAAAAGAGCGCTTGGTTTGGTAGTACAAATAATATAATTATGGAATGCATTATTATGAACAGAAGGCTGTCATCCGCCACTGCTATTGTCTGTCTGTCTGTCTGTCTGTCTGTCTGTCTGTCTGTCGGTCAATCTGTTTAGCTATCCTTCTGTCTGCTACGGGATGTTGAGCTCGTCGTTAGGCGTGTGGTCGTAGAGACGACACTCTTTTGGGGTTTGGTGGTCTGTAAATCTGGCTTGAATTTTACAAAAAACAAATTCTCGTAGGTGTTCAAGCTTAAGGATTTGCCTGTGCTGGTCTTTCTTTGTATCTGCTCTTCCATGCACCCGTAGGCGATAGGGTCAAAGGTCAAGTCGAATTTGTTAGCAGCCATTTGTTTCATGGTGATGAGGACGTGGAGGTCAAAGGCTGAGAAGATACAGATGTGTCTTATGATTCGACCTTGACATTTCTTGAGCGAATCTTCGTACTGCCAGCTGATGTACCTTGAGACGTATCCTTTCGACTCCGGGTGGCCTGGAAAGAGAGGGAAAACATAAAACCTATTGATAGAAAATTATGATAGATGAAAGTAGTAACTGGAGGATGAACGACAAAATGGCTGGACTAATGAAACATACTAACGAAATAATCATCATCGTCATCATCGTCATGATGATCATGATGATAATGATGATCATGATGTCAGCATTGTGACGTATGTGTACGCGCTTGAGCTTAGTTCTAGTATAGTCATTAATGTCACTGTTTATAACATGTTCCTGAGGAAGCCCTAAGATGGCGAAACGTTGAAAGTGTAAAATTTTGGAAATTCTTCTCAGTCTCCAACGTTTTTCGATGATGATGATGATGATGATGATGATGATGATGATGATGATGATGATGATGA